CCACTCTGCCTGCTTGTGTTCCCTCTCTCGCTGTCTCTCTCTCTGTGTGTGTGTCAAATTAAAAAAAATAATAATAAATAAAAAAAATAAAATATTTCAAATATATTATACATTATGAAAAGTAATCGTCAAACATAAAAGGTAAACTTGTGTCAGAAATGCATCACTTGGGGCGCCTGGGGGGCTCTGTCGGTTAAGGGTCTGACTCTCGGTTTTGGCTCAGGTCCTGATCTCAGGGTCGTGGCATCAAGGTCCGTGTCAGACTCTGTGCTCAGCGTGGAGTCTGCTTGGGATTCTCTCTCTCCCTCTGCCTCTGCCCGCCCTCTCCTCCATGCTCTCCCTCTGAAATAAATAAATAAATCTTTTAAAAAAGAAAAAAGAAATGCATCTCTTAATGAGATCAACTAAACCCCCCTCATGGACTTATAAATCCATGGGTGAATATTTCCTTTTTTTTTTTTTTTTAAATGGGTCATCATTAATTCTGGTCTTTGTGGTTTTTTTAGATTTTATTTATTTGAGAGAGAGAGCACAAGCGAGCATGCATGTATGAGTGGGGTGGTGGGGAGGGGAGAGGCAGAGGGAGAAGCAGACTCCCCGCTGAGCAGGGGCCCCATGCGGGGCTCGATCCCAGGACCCTGGGATCATGACCTGAGCTGAAGGCAGACACTCAACTGACTGAACCACCCAGATGCCCCTGGTCTTTGTTTTTTTATAGGTCAAAAGACTCAGAAATCCTGCTAAATAAGCCAATCCCTAATTACTTATTGCTTCCGGGAACGGAAGGCAATTTTTACAGCAAGGTTTCTCAGTTCCTACGCCTCAATCACATGACGCTCTAAGACCCCATCAGCTGATACCTCGGTGAGGTCCTCTCTTCTTCAATTTCAGTTTCCTTGAAGAACCAACAACAGTTTTGAAGAAGATTTGTTACCGTCTGTCTCTTTTGCTGCCCCTGATGTGTTTAGAACCACAAATTCAGATTTAGGAGGAATGAGAGGCACATCGGTTTTGGCAAAGAAGATGTTTATAAAGGGGCTGGACACGGATCCCCTCTCCGTGCCCACAGTCACTTGGAATTTCTTTGTGTTTCTCCAGGGACTCCCCCCGCTCCCCAGGCTGGAGATCATGCTGCTCAGCATGCTGATTTCCCTTTGTGGGTCACACATCTATCCTAGGAACCAAGCTACAGCCATTTTCCCTGGGGAAGAAACGCCCGTTTCCCCAAGACAATCCTGCGAAGACTGTAGGATCCCCAACCCTGTTTACAGGGCCCTGCTGCAGTGGGATGGCTTCAGAGGAAGGCAGACCTCAACCCAGCAGGATTTCAGGCAGGATAGAGTTCAGGACAACTGACTAGCCTTCACCTCTGGGGTATTTCAAAAGCGACACGCAGGCATGACAAGCCCAGGCTATTTCTCATTCACAGGAGGTCAGTGGAAGAAAAAGCTAGAGATGCTCTTGGGCTGGGCCAGAAGGATCTACTGCTGAGCCCAGGGCCCCAACCTCAGACAGACCCATTTCAAATCCACTGTGACTTCTGGGAGAAGTACATTTATGTATGCCCTGTCTGGGGGACTGTGTGGGCAGCCTGGAGAACAGGGGTCAGCAAACGATGGCAAACTGAAAAATGTTTTTTTTATACTTTCAAATGATTGAAAAAAATATATAACATTTTGTAAGACCGGAGAAACATCTGCATTCAAATTTCAGTGTGCATAAATAAAGGTTTATGGGAACACAGCGAGGTTCATTCATTTGCATACTCTCTGTGGCTGCTCTCAAGGGCCGAGTTAAGGAGTTGTTACACACAGTATGGCCCACAAAGCCTACAATATTTACCATCTGGCCCTTGACAGAAAAAGCTTACGGAGCCCTGCTCTGGAGCTGGGATGGCTTGGGCGCCAACACAGCCAGGGTGAAGCAAAGCCCCGGGGCACTGGGCTTTTCTTAGGTTGGGGCTGATCTGAAGCTGCCCCGCTCCCGGCCCCCAGGTCTGCGAGACTGGGGGCCCTTCTTGTACAAATGAGTAGAGAAGAGTGAGCAGATTCTGAGCCTCAGTGACCTTCGTCCCGTCTCCAGGCTGTTCTCTGACAACCCTTCTCTGTGCCCAGGGTGAGTAGGGCAGGTAGTCTTGTGAGCTCAGAGCCTTCGGGTGGTGGGCTGAGGGTGGGCAGCAGCAGGGAAGGAGGAAGACCCACAGGGAAGGGCCTCCAGCCTGGGGAGGTGCCTAGACCCCCAGGAGGGGAAGGGCTGCAAGAACAGCGCAGCTGGACCCGGCACAGCGCACGTGGCCTACAGGGGACTCCTGCTGTCGGACACACCGCCCCGCGCTTGGAGAGCCGCCCTCGGGTTTCAGAGCTTAGAACAGAGGTCGCTCCCGCCACAGTCCAGCCAACCCATTTTACAGAAAGACTCTCAAGGCGCCCATGGGGATCCCCGGGGAGCTGCCAGAAAGGCTGGAAAGCCCCTGCTCACCCTGGCAGGGGGCATGGAAGTCCTCTGTGTCCCCAGGCTGGGCGTGGACGCACGGGGGCTGCGGGCTTTTCTGGCATTCCAAGCCCTGCAGCGGCCTGCGCCAGTGGGACCCCGGACCCCCAGCCCACCGCTCCTCTGGTCATGCAAGACGCCCTCTGAGACCTCCCCCTCCTCCCGACGCCTCCCGTAACGCAGTTCACCCCTCCCGGGTCCCCACGCGCGGAGGCCCTGGTCCTGGGGCCGCGGAAAGGCCCTGCCCCGCTGCCCCCAGCCAGGTGCCCCCCGCCCCGCAGTCCTCCGAGGACCCAGCCGGCCCTGCGAGGCCCCTTTCCCGCGGCGCCCCCTCCCCGTACCTAACGAGGTCGCGTAGAGGTCGGTGGCGCCGCAGGCCGGGGGTCCCAGGAGCCCCGCGGCCACGCACAGCAGCGGCAACAC